AATTCTTGAAGGCTCCAGAGAAAGAGGTCCTGAGAGTTTTCAGATCCATAAATAATGGGATTTATTAAAAATAGGTCATCCAAATCAATCTAATTGCCTTCTATTTTTAATGTTAATTCTTTTTATTGATTTTTTAAAATGGATAGCCCATTAAAACGCATTAATCATGACCTGAAGAGTGTATTTGCATTGCAAAAAGCCTAAGGTGAAGAATAAAAAGCAATTTCCCACCACATGAACCTGAGGTGGGAACATCAACCAAAAGAGCTGGAGGCCTACTTTTCCCAGGAAAAAGCATTTCTGGGTAAAAGCTGGGAGGTGAGGTATCATTATGATAAAATGTTGTATGACAGCAGTTTTAGAATGTTTGAGCCATGCGTGTCCTATTTGGGTGAATGGTCTCTAATTTTGTAGAGCCAAAGTAAAAACACATGATTTGTTCTGCTGTGTTTTCATTACATAAGTAATGCATGCTCATAATTGCAGAATATATGTTCATTCCAGAAAATGCAGATGAGGAAAATTACTACTAAAAATAATCCATAATCCCATCATCCAGTAGTAACACTGGTAACATTTTGATACATACTGGTACATATTCAGATTTTTAAAACATACAATGGATATTGTTTAAATGCAGACTTATAATACACATTTTTAATCATTATACTAAAGCACAATCACATACATTTAAGATGACAAGAAATATCATTCTTCAAAACTGTTAGTGGAACAGTTTTAGTGGAACATAGATAGGTATCACCATTTACTCAACTTTGCTTCTCCTGTTGGACTTTATAAACATGCTTCACTACAGATCCCACAGCTAAATCCTGGCCAACATCCTTGATTACTTAGGATATATCTGAAAAGGGAGACTCATTAAATCAAAGAATAAACACATTTTGTGAGGTTTGACTGACAACTTTTGGAAAGTCAACTTGTCGGCTACTTTCCAGTCCCTCTGTTTCCATAATCTCTCTCCCCACTCCTTTCCTCTCTCTGAAATAAATTTTTTTTAAAAAATTAAAGAAATAATTGTGATAAATAAGAGATACATGAAAACTCTTATTTCTCTCAAGAAATAAAAACATTCAAAGCAACAGTAACAGAGGCTGAATATAAAAAGATTAAGATGGGAGATGAAATACTAGTAATATTATTAACAGAAAATCTAATCTTAAGTAAGGACTGAAGGGACAGAAGAGAGTTGAGCCCTTTATTTTGAGGGATTGATGCTTGTGGTTGATAATTCATCTCAGAGCAATGGTTTTGCTGTCACATAGCAGTTTCTATGTCAATGCTGGGACCATCCAAAAGCTGTGCTTGTTCAGCCACAGGCAGGTGATGACATTTCCACACCTTTCCAACATAGAATTATGTGCATGGCAACTCTATGCAGAATAAACCTTCATTTAAAAAATTCTATTAAATTTATTGGGGTGACATTGGTTAATAGGGTCATATAGGTTTCAACTATACATTTATATGACATGTGATCTGTATATTGCCCTGTGTGTTCACCACCCAAAGTCAAATCCCCATTTATTGTATAAAATTTTATAAAATTCTGACACACTTTATGAGAGCAGACAATAACTCCAGTGAGAATTTTTTCCTTTGTACATAATTTTAAACAGCACTTTGATGGTTGAAAATTCTGGCCAAGTCAGCAGAGGGTGCTGTGCAGGTACTGCCAGAAGTG